TTACATCAGATCCTGATTGCATCACGACCGACAATGTGACTGAGCTCTTGTTAAGGAAGTTAGTTTAAGTACGCCCGCTTGGGATAAGATTGTAGATACTGTGTTTCTGGCCTGGGGTTTAGGGTTTCGGGAGTTAGATAGTAGATACTATGTTTTGGTGATGGTTGCTTAATCCAAGCTTCTTCCTGAACCCTAAGCCTTAAACCCTGAACTCTCAACCCTAAGCCCAAAACCGTCAAGGTGACGATACCAACGGTTCAGGAGGCCGAATCTCTGAAAAATGCTCCTGGGCTTAGAGTTTGTTTAAGCTGAAGCTCGGATCTGCTTTTGGGTTGATGTAGAGCTCACGGTTCAATTGTTCAATCCCCCTAGATGAGCGTATGAGCTTAAGAAATGCTTACGCAAAATCGTGAGTGGGCCCATGCGGGCTACAGAAAGCATTCAATTTCGGCGCTTAGGGGATGCCGAGAGTGTAGGATTCAGCTAGGATGCCAGCCCTAAACCTGACATGTACACCATACTGAAGCCTCGTCTTTGGTTTTTGAAGCTTAGAGGTTTTGGGTTTAGGTTTAGGGTTTAGGTTTTCTAGGTTTGGGTTTATAGGCTGGAGGTTTCGAGTGCAGTGTCCAGGATCCAAGGTCTCGGCTTAGGTCTTTGGCGTTGTGGGTGCCAGGCTTGGGGGATGCTGGGCCCCACTGTTGATGATATAAATCCTGCATCACCTTAAGGACCCTAAACTATGGGAATTATGGTATATTCCTAACTGGGTAATGCAGGATTCAACAAAAACCGTAGTAAGGCTCTCGCCAAGCTCCACCAGTCAGCTGCCGGTGACCTCTATGGCATCGGTCCTGCAGAAGAGCCCATTGCATCTCTCGCAATTCGCTTCGCTATGTTGGCGTATGGTCGCAACGATGCCCACGGCTCCCTGGTAATCGATTGTTCAGGCCAAAGCAAAGCTTTAATCTTTCGGTCTAATCGATCGCTTTTACATATAAACCCTGAAATTCCACAACCTGGACAGCTAAGGTCATTCTGTGCGGGCTTTCACTTTCGGGAACGACACGGAAATCTCAATGCTCGAGTTCCAGTTTAAGAGCTGGTTTCATGCCAATGGCAGTGTTGATGATGCCGCACATCTGGTGGCATACTTGGTCAAAGTTAAAGGTGGGATGGGTGTAGTTCTCAGCTACAAAGGATCCACGAACAGGAAAGACTGGCAAGCAAACCTGGACAGTGGGTCTGAATTCTTCCGCGACAGTCCTGAGCTACCAAAATCTTTGAAGCATGCGCGTGTGGAAGTTCATCATGGCTTCAAATGGCATAAAACCTCTCTGGACTTGCGCATGAACATGTTCATGATGGAGCCAGTGGAGAAGATATTGAGGTCGTGGGGTGTCCCAGAAAGAAAGCTCCACCGCCCCTTCAAAGAGTTTCTTTACCCTGGTACTTTGGCTCTTTTATGGCGAACGACTCGCCAAGTTTGCGTTAAAAGTTATAAGCATGTGAAGCTGTTGCGTGTCTGTTTGCATGACAAGAGAAGAGCTTCTTTTCAGCCAGGTGCGTGGAAGTGGTGCATAAGCATCGGACATAGCTTGGGTGGTGCAATGTCCGCTATGGCTGCTTTGGACATTGCTGTTGACAGCGGGAGCTCACAGGCAGATGGGGTGGTGTTTGCACTGATAGTAAGGGCGCTTAGGTAGGATGTGCTTCAGTCAGCTTTTGTTGATTTGCTTGGTTTGTGGTGTCAGTGGAAGTGAAATTTCGTGAGGTGCTCGTATGCAGCTTAGCCGTGCCGTACCGCTATTGTAAGACAAGTCTTTATTAAGGCTCGGGACCATGAGTTCAAGTTCAGGGTCTGCCAGGAATTCTGGTTTGGATTTGCTTGTTGTGGCTTGAGGATCGAGTTTCATCTTATCCAAAACCCCCTCCTACTACTACTACTACT